GCTGCTGAGGCTTCCTCGCAGGAGCCTTTTTCTCCCGGCCATTAAAAAGGGAAACGCACGGCTCTGTGGTGCTCATCGCTTGTGTGAGGCTCTGCGGGGAGGCTGGATTGTAGATGGGTTTCCTCCCTCCCCCAGCAATGTGCGAGTTACTGTAATAGGCCATTTATTATTATCACTTCGAATTTTTATCACAATCGTGTCTTGAGGCCTCGGCGAAGATCAGGGCTGTGTTTCACTGCCCAGTTTCCAGGCACTTCTGCTTTGTGGAGCCTGTTCAGAGCTGTAGGTCTTTTCCTGAGGGCTCTTTTGCTTTTGGCTAGCTTCACATTTTGTTGTGGCTGTTTATATTACCTGTTTGTGGGACAGCAGCGCTGAGTTTAGGCCCTGTTGTCGTAGGCACTGTACAACTCCATAGCAAAAGCTCTCACCTGAAACAGCCTTGGGAAGACAGCACATCTTGGGCGATACAGCACAGGAGGTAGATAGGGGAGCTGGGTGTTCAGCAACTGAAATATTGAGGGCTATATTGATCCAAATGCTGCGGGGATTGTGGGGTGTGCTGGGGTAACGTGTGTCAATGAAAAATGGGTTACTTTGGCCCTTGGGGAACACAGACCACCTGAAGACAGACAGACAGAACTGCACCTGCCTCTCCCCCGGTGCCAGATAATTACAGATAATTTCTGTAATCCTTTTTTTGCACAAGGACTGCTCTTTTGGCCTGGATGGTCACAATGTTGTGCTGTACACTGGAGGCAGGTATTTTAAAGTAATGACCTAAACGAGGCAGGTAACACGGCAGGCCAAAAGGAAGAGCCAGAGGGAGAAGAGAGAAGCAGCTGGCTGAGAATGACCACTGAGTTTCAGGTAGTTCCTCTGGTCTTCAGCAAGGGGAGGCTCCTCTTTTGGAGGCAGAGAGCTGTTTTCTGTCCCTACTGGGAAGAATATCGATGAGGCAGCCAGAGGTGGGTCGATTCCCTGAGCTGCCTTCTGGGGATCTGGCGGCTGCTCAATGACCTCATCTCGTCAAGGTTTCAGCAGCCTTGCTCCCCTCCTCCTCCTCCCGCCGCCCTCCTCCAGCCCCGTCCTTTGGAAAAGGTGAAGGATGGAGTGTGCAGGAGGCTAAAATCCTTCTATCGATCTGTAGTCTGGAGAGCAATTAACGCAAGCCTTCCAGTGCCGCTCCGTGACCCAAGCCCTCTCCAGTGTGCGGGAAGGAGGGGTGCGTGCACAGGGCGGAATGGGAGAGGGGTTAGAGAGTGGTAGCAAAACTGATTAAACCCATAGGTGGGCTGACTTCCAAGTGGGTTTGCTTTGTGTACTGCTTCCCAGTTGGCACCTGAATTGTCTCCGTGCGGCAGAGGCAGCCCCATTGCAGCCTGGCTGCTGGATTTGCAGCAGGTTTCCCTTAGCGGGATGGCCAGAAAGGTTGCTCTCCCTGACCCGTTCAGCCTTTGGCTTCTCTTCTGAAGCAGCTGGATATCAGGAGGAGGGAGGGAAATTATAAATGGATTGCGGCATGGGTGGTGAGGACTTCTACGTGGACACCTGTCTACAAGACACTGGCCTGGGACGATGGATTCTTTTCAGTCCCTGCACGCTGGGCCCCATCTGGTGAAATGCTCTGTAATCCATTACCAGTCTCTCGGACCATCATTTATCATAGAGCAAGACAGAGGAGGCCTGGCAGGGAATAGATGCTGCCCTTTATGCATCCTCGCAGTCCAGCAGGATCCAGTGACATGTCATTATTATAATAGAAGGTGCGTCCCTTCTAGCCACTTGGCACCTATTTGTTATCATTCTCCAAACTGCCAGAGCAGTGGTGAGTGGGTGCAGCCATGCACAGAGATGGAGCAGACGGTGCGGTATCTTCCTGAGGAAGGACAGGAGCCCTTCTGCTCCAGGGACTTTAAAATTAGAAAGGGCCAGTGACTGGATGCAGTGTGCTGAGGGCTGGTCCTGTACTAGTTGCAAATTAGATACACACTGAGGCCAGAGGGACCACTGTAGGCAGCTGTTGTGTCCTCCTGCAGAAGTCCTTCCTGGGGTTATTCCTGCATCTGGTGACTTCAGATCGGTGACAGAGCTGAGGTGGGAGCAGAAGGGCAGCGGGGGACGCCTGAACACCAGGCTCCACAACCCTGAATTCAGGGGTGCTGAGCACACAGAATGGTGACTCAGTCTTTGGAGCTGCTAGGGCTGAGCTCTTCTGCAGTCACTGTGAGATTTTGGGCTTTTCTGCAGGGAACAGGGATGTTTTGCCACTAACTGCAGTGGAAATAGGTTTCCACCCTCTAGCTTTTAAGTTCTGTGTCACAGAAATTGCTAATAGGCCAGAACCCAAAGTATTGGTATTTACCTTCCCCCTCCCAAGAATATTTCCACCAGTCTGTCCTTCTTTCCGGAAGGGAAAACAAACTCTGAGATAACTGTTTTGGCCATATTATATTTCTCTGTGTGTGGGTACGTGGAAAATATTTCTTGTTCCCATACAGCAGGCCTGTCTTGCCCTCACTCTTGGACACAGCAGGCTTACTGTGTGCGCATCTGTGTGCATCTTGACCTCTCCCTTCCTTTCTTCTGGGGGCACGAAGAGACAAAGGAAAGAAAACCACAGAGGAGAAAGGCTTCTGTAGGAGAAGCAGTTGCTAGCCCAGCTCTGCTGGCGATGTCAGTAACCCCGCAAATGATCCCACATTCGGTGTGCTTCCAGGATTGCAAGCATGTGTGCAGGAGAGGGACCGTAGGGAAGCCTTACACCTTCCCCCTCATCCCTGCCAGTTGTGAATGCAGCTTCTGGGCTAAATCTCTGCCCGCGCTGGTGGGGACCTGGGGAGCGTGTGTCACGGGCGGGGACCGCCCAGCCTCTCTCCGTGCAGGCGGAGGTTAAACCCTGAGGATGGGTCTGGCTGGCTGGTGACTGGAGAATTCATTCCCAAGCACTGTGTTGCTGCAATTCAATCCTTGGCTTGCTTTTGGAATAAGGAAGTACCTAATTTTAAAGCAGTTGGCTGTTACAGTCAGATCCCCTCAGAGACGCTTGCTCTGGCTGCAGATGGAGGTGTCTCGCCCGAGCATTGACTGTGCCTGGAATAATTGAGCACAATTTCACTTCCTCTATTTACCAAGCTGCAGCCACTCTTCCAAAAGGGAGAAAGCGAATTAACCCCCCATCCCGAGAAAGAAGAACCCTCCTCCGAAACGGCAAAAAAAGGGGGAAAAAAGCCTTCAGCCATTTGGGTGTTTTGTGAATTTTAACATAAGCAGCTGTGAGTTTTGTCTTCTGGAAAATGGAATGCAATAGGAATGAGAACGAGGGCTCGTGTCCGTCTGTCTGTCTGGTAGCTGGGGGTGGCGAGGGAAAGGAAAGCGCTCGCTGGCTCTTTGGCAACGGCCTCTGCCTCCACCTCCCGCGCTGACAGGCGCCTAGCTCGCAGGAAAGCCGGTCGTTTTCTCTGCAGCTGTTAATCAGACACACGAAAGTACTTGAAGCTTTTTCTAGCTGGAAGAAGAAGGGGTGTGAAGAGAGCGAGGAGCTGCCTGGCCTCCGCGGGGCGCAGGGTG